TTTGCCTAAAGATAACGGATGGGATATGGGATAAAGAGATAACTGTAACCTTAGAGTCACTACATTTGTTTATAGTTTTTTGTGATAATGGTTAGAAGTAATTTTTTTACACATTTATTTTTCTCTATTATATTCTTACTTTTCTCCCTCTTCTCTATTTTCTTTGTATTTTTTGTTTTTTCTTTCTCTTGGGCCAGAAAGAGGGAATGTTCAGTTAGAATAATATTGATTTAAGCATAACCAATAGGAAGTTAAGAAGCATGAAGAAATAGGCAAAAGACAGCATTATACATTTTAGAGGACATTCTACAACTAATAGGTTATTAAAAGTTAATGTGCCCAAATCTGTGTCGTGAACATTTCCAGTGATAATGGTTGCTTCTTGGGCCGAAAGTTATAGCAAAGTAAACTTGTTAAAAAGACACACTGATACAAAATAAGGAACGATGCCAAGCTTAGATGTAGAGCAAAAGAGGCAAACCAGAAATCTTTCCCCATGGGATGGATGAAATACAACGATGGACTGAAGCCGAATGATACAAGCTAGCCAGCCATATTTTAGAGCTGAGTGTTGTGAGAATTCAGTCTTTGTGGTACGTTTATGGTGCAAGATATTATGCACGCTAAGAAAATGGGATTAACTCCACACACCACAATAAAATTAATTGTGGTAAGCATGTCATGTGATGCACTGCCAACCTGACCAATGCTTCTTTGGAGACTGGAGTCTGCAATATTTTTTCCTGTGAGTCCATCAATGTCGGAGGAAGTTTTAAAGTGAAATATTACAGGCAGCCGAGTCTCCCCCGGCAGATAAAATGGGATCTGGGATCATCCTCCTTTCAAAGTGAACTCATTGTGTCTTACGAGGTTTTTTTTTTTCCTTTCAGTTCCAGCTGAATCAAACCCAGCTTTATAAAATTGCAACTTTTTTGTTTAAAACAGGTTAAGAAAGCCAACTGCAACAGATGTACAGAAAAAACGGGAGCCAAAGAATCACTTTTCTTCCAAAGGATGAGTTCATCTTTTCCTTATCTCTGCCCCGTGGATGACATATATATGTATCTCCATAGTGAACACAAATTTCACTCTATCTTCCCCCACCCTCGCTTTTGAAAAATTCTGATATATCCCTTTGAATATACAGGTATATTACAGGCATATTATGTTGCTAAGTGAGACATTTGTTCAGTGAGTTTTGCCCCATTTTACAATGCTTCTTACCACAGTTGTTAAGTTAGCAACACAATTGTTAAGTGAACCTTGCTTCGCCACTGACTTTGCTTGTCAGAAGGTGGCAAAAGTGGAATCCATGATCGCGGGACATTGCGACCGTCATAAATAAGAGTCAGCTGCCAAGCATCCGAATTTTGATCACGTGACCATGGGGATGCTGCAACGGTCGTAAGTGTGAAAAACGGTCATAAGTCACCTTTTTCAGTGCCGTTGTAACTCTGAACGGTCACTAAATGAACTGCAGTAAGTCGAGGACTACCTGTAGAATTGTTTGTTTATAGTTCCTAACTTGTTTTGTTTTGTAAATACACTTTTTTAAAATTGACAAGTTGCCCCTGGAAGGTAAAGGGTTGTTGTTAGTTGCGAAGTCGTGTCCGACCCGTCGCGACCCCATGGACAACATTCCTCCAGGCCTTCCTGTCCTCTACCATCTTCTGAGGTCCATTTAAGCTCACGCCTACTGCTTCAGTGACTCCATCCAGCCACCTCATTCTCTGTCGTCCCCTTCTTCTATTGCCCTCCATCTTTCCCAGCATTAGGCTCTTCTCCAGTGAGTCCTTCCTTCTCATTAGGTGGCCAAAGTACTTGAGTTTCAACTTCAGGATCTGACCTTCTAAAGAGCAGTCAGGGTTGATCTCCTCTAGGACTGACCGGTTTGAACGCCTTGCAGTCCAGGGGACTCACAGGCGTCTTCTCCAGCACCATAGTTCAAAGGCCTCAATTCTTTGGCGCTCAGCCTTTCTTATGGTCCAACTTTCACAGCCATCCATTGCAACTGGGAAAACCATGGCCTTGACTATACGTACTTCTGTTGGCAGGGTGATGTCTCTGCTTTTTAGTATTCTGTCTAGATTTGCCATAGCTTTCCTCCCCAGGAGCAAGCGTCTTCTAATTTCTTGGCTGCAGTCCCCATCTGTGGTGATCTTGGAGCCCAGGAAGATAAAATCTGTCACTACCTCCATTTCTTCCCCATCTATTTGCCAGGAATTGAGAGGGCCGGATGCCATGATTTTGGTTTTCTTAATGTTGAGGTAAAGGGTAGGACCCAATAAATCGGTTAGTTGAATAATCTTTCTTGCTTCTGTGGGGCAAATTTTGGTCCTCCTGAACTTAATCCAGAGAAGATTGCACACTTGATAACAATATAAGCAGAGGAATTAAGCATTTATTAGATACTTAACATCACTTATAGTGTTGTGAGAAAGGAAGGCGAGACCCAAGTATCAAAGTTTAAAGGAAAAATGGTAAGTCATAGGAGTACAGTAGTCGTTCTGAAAATGTGACACAATTACTGTAGGTTGCGGTGGGTGGCATGTCTCTCCTGTTGGTCCTTCTAGAGAAGAAGAGAGGAGAAGAATAAGTTACATGAAGTGATGAGGGTTCTTTTCTTTCTTTCTTTTTCTTTTTTGGTAAGATGTTAACCAGAAGCAGTTTTATTTTCCACGCCAACTAGTTCAGCTTATAGAGAAAACAGCTGCTTTCTCAACCGTAGGCTTTATACTCCTGGAACTCAAATATCATAAAAACTGTAGCTTTCCTCAGACATTTAACTGATCATTGAAGCCTCTGGTTAATTTCTTTTGGGTAGCCAGGCTGAACAAACAAACAATTCTTCTGGACAAAGAAAAACTAACAGCCTAACTGTTTATGGTTTGTAAATTCTAATCTAGACTCTAAATTCTAATCTAGAGTCTAAAGGTAATAGCTAATAGATCTGCACACATTGGAATCAATTCAGACAGAAAATTCAGATGAATAATACAGCTGTATAAACCCTTAGTTAGACCACACCTGGAATACTCCATCCACATTGCAAAAAAGATATTGAGACTTTGGGAAAAAATGCAAAGAAGAGCAACCAAGATGATTAAAGGCCTGGAGACTAAAACATATGAAGAACAGTTGCAGGATTTGGGAGTGGCTAGTCTAGAGAAAAGAAGGACTAGGGGGGACATGATAGCAGTATTCCAGTATTTGAGGCGCTGCCACAAAGAGGAGGGGTGGTCAACTTATTCTCCAAAGCACCAGAAGGCAAGACAAGAAACAACGGATGGAAACTAATCAAGGAGAGAAGCAACCAGGAATAAAGGAGAAACTTCCTAACAGTGGTAACAATTAACCAGTGGAACAGCTTGCCTTCAGAAGTTGTAGTTACTTCATCACTGGAGATTTTTAAGAATAGACTGGACAGCCACCTGTCTGAAATGGTATAGGGTCTCCTGCTTGAGCAGGGAGTTGGACTAGAAGACCTCTAAGGTCCCTGCCATCTTTGTAATTCTGTTATGTGTCTATTGATTTCACACACACACACACACACACACACACACCAAGTTTCAAAAACATTTTTTAACTGATTCACAAACACCCTCCCTGCTGCCATCAATTGCAAGTCCCTCTGGGTGGACCAGTTCTTCCAGCTTCTAGTCAGGGAGCACTGAACTTGGCAGCAGCCATATTTCAGTCCTGTCCTTATTTCACTGCCTTTGTTTTCACAAGGAATAAATCAAAAAAAGGCATGGACTGTGATCCAGAGCTACTGTTTCTAGGCTAGCTACCGTATACCCAGAAAACCACAGAGATAACAGCAAAGAGACCTTTGCTATCTGCACAAGCCATCCTAATGTTCATCCAGACTGTTGCAGCCCCGGTATCCTAGCTCTACTCTTAGGGCAGGGGTCCCCAACCTCTGGTCCGTGGACCAGTACCGGTCCGTGGCATGCCAGCAACTGGTCCGCACAAACAAGCAAAGCCCCATCCTTGGGATGCAGGCAGCACACGAAACCACGCCCCCTCCGGTCCGTGGAAAAAACTCTCTCCATGGAAGCGGTCCCTGGTGCCCAAAAGGTTGGGGACCTCTGTCTTATTCAATATAAGTGCCCAGAACAAGTTTACCTTGACACTTCAATGGCTTCCCAGCTGCAAGAAGAATAGCTAAGGATCCAGGAAGCACGTGAGATGTTCCTGCTGTTGATAACATTCTTCTACCACAGCTCCACTGCAATCTAAAAACTGGGATTTTTTTGTGTGTGTGGCTCAGCGAGGATAATGGCATAGGAAGCAGGTATGCAGCACAGTAGAAAGTCTCACATCCTAGTTAAAAGAAGCTGGAATTAGATCGATTTTGCATGGACTTTCTGTATCTGCTTATTAAAATAGCGCTGCCTGAGTTGACTACCCCTTCTGGAGATCGGGAAGAATCAGCAGACCTCATTCCTTGCTACTNTGTCTTATTCAGGCAGGTGGGTCAGCTGCTTAAAGGCCAAATGGCATGGCTGTATTGAAAGGGCAGCATGATTGTTTGGCCATTAGTCATCCCTTTGTGGGCAAAAGTTTAGAAAGCCTTAGGGCAGTGGTTCTCAACCTTTTTAATGCCGTGACCCCAACCGGTTGTATGTCGAGGACTAAAACGGTCGTAAGTCGAGGACTAAACCAGTCGTAAGTCGAGGACTACCCAACCGGTCATAAGTCGAGGACTTTCCCTGCCTGGGAGCGCCGCGCATGTGTGGTTCCGCCCCCTGCGCCGGCTGAGGCGTAGCTGGCAAGCGGCAGAGACGGAGCAGGCCAACCACCAGCTGGCCCAGCCCAAGGGAGGTAAGGCACCCGCTGGAAAAGGGGGAAAAATGGCGGACAAAAAAAATGGCGGACAGCCTTGCTTGGCAACCCCCGTGAAATGGTCGATCGACCCCAAATGGGGTCCCGACCCACAGGTTGAGAACCACTGCCTTAGGGTGTTTCTGGCTTTGAACTTTACTCAGTTCACTGGCTACTCGATAAAGCAGGAGGCTAATATGAACATCTGAACTTTTAAAGTTTTGCTACTGGAATTCTCTTAACTAACTTACTACAAAAATGCACCAACCACCTGCCTTTCAGGGAATGGATGGTGGCTGAAAACATCTCTGCAAAAGTGGAGCTGATGACCATGGCAAAGATCAAGGAAACTGTGAGTAGACCAGTTCCTTTGAACCTCTCTGGATAAGGAGAGGACAGGAGATTGCCCACATGTGCTCTGGACAGCTGCTCCCTGCAAGGAGACGGCAGGGCAGCTGTTTTACATGGGTTTGAGCACAGGGAGATGACAAGCACGGCCATCTTGCTTACAACTGCAGTCAGTGCCTTTTAAAAGATGCTGAGTTTGCTAGCTTCACTTTCTAAATCACTTTCAGAAACTTAATGAGTTTTAAGCTATTAGAGGCCTTCAGAATGACAAGTTTGAAAACACAGATGAGTTTGTCTTCAATCCCGAATGAAAGAAAATTTTAATTAAAAGCTTTAGAATTTAAAAGAATTCAAAACAAACAGCAAAAAGCTAAATAAGATTTTGAACTTAGAACATCATAAATGGACTAAGGGCAGTGGTGGGATTCAGCCAGTTCGCACCAGTTCGGCAGAACCGGTAGCTATTTTTTTGTTGCCCAGGCCCAGAACGGACTTCCGGAAGTGGCATCAACACAGAGAACTGGTTGTTCATATATTTGAATCCCACCACTGACTAAAGGTCCAAATAAATTTGGAATATAGATATTTTTGCAACAAGATTTTGGAATTAATTATAAAGAACAAACAATCTGTTATTGAAAAAAAAAGAAAAATCAAATTCTATGACACTACCTGAATGAACTAAAAAGTAAGGCTGTTCGACGTAAAAGGAAGGAATATAAACTTGGTTTATTTGATCAAGGTTAAAACAAGATACGTTGCTGGTTCTGGCAATCCTTTATGGACTCTCTGTGGACATTAGCACTGAAAAGATGCTTTATGGATTTGCCTAAAGATAACGGATGGGATATGGGATAAAGAGATAACTGTAACCTTAGAGTCACTACATTTGTTTATAGTTTTTTGTGATAATGGTTAGAAGTAATTTTTTTACACATTTATTTTTCTCTATTATATTCTTACTTTTCTCCCTCTTCTCTATTTTCTTTGTATTTTTTGTTTTTTCTTTCTCTTGGGCCAGAA